ATATAAATCCCACATCGAATAATGATGTAAACACAGACCAATTAATAAAGATCCTGGGCTACTCCTCTTAGTAAGGTTAACCTTTTAAGATGGACCCCCTCTTAATAAGGTTGACCTTTTAAGATGGACCCCCAAATCTTGACAATCAACTTCTGTTGCATTGTCTAGCGCTGAACTAATGGCCACTCTTTCAATGACCTAATTGCAATTAAAGTTCAGTGATCTAATTATAGGTGAGGGGAAAGTTTAGTGACTTTCGATACAATTCACTACATATATGTTAATTTATTTTGTAGCTTGGATGATACTGAATTGGATTGTAAAATCAACTTCATTGCATTGAGTACTACATTGCACTCTCGATAGTAGTGATTTCGATAAGTGATGCGGAAAGCGTTATGCTTTACTTATTCATTTCCTGTACATGATTGATTGGATATAAATCTGTACACCTTTCAAAACATTTACCTTATATATATATGAAGAACTTATTTGTTTTATTGTAAATTATAGTGCTGATAGCATGGATGCTTGATTGTGTATTTGTGTGACATATGTATAAGCAACTTATTTTTAGTAAAATAGATATTTATAAGTAAAGGTGAAATCCAAATGATCAAAATTTTGTTAAATTATTACTCAACTCAAATAGAAAGATATTACACTTCAAATTTTTGAATATCCGCATAAGCTAAAAAACAGAATCTAGTTTCATAAAGTTAAACATCTAAGAACCACCAAACAATTAGAGATTGAATGATTTTGCAACTATGATGAATGATTAAAGATCGACTTGTTACTCGAACCATACATTAAAGATGACAAGTAAATTTTCATGTCATTTATAATTATATTAGTCACAATTTTCACCACATAGGGGAAGGTGGAGAAACTCCAGCCTCGCTTGAGGCTGCTGCATCAAGGGTTCCAATCCTGAAACATGGATTTGGCCCTTAGGTAAGTGCAAGTATACAAGCAGCCTTTCACCTTATACCCTTGGAGGCATAACCTGCGATTTACCTCTTTCACGAAGGCTCAAGGCAGAATAGGTGGGGGGCCGCTAAGGAAGCGGTTCATCCTTTAGAAACAAAATAAGACAGTAATTGAAAGGGAGTGAATTAAAGAGAGGCCCTAATTAATAATTATTTACTTTTTGTTCCCTTTATCAATAATGCAGCTTTAAAGAATTCCTCCATGGCTTTCACAGAAGAACCTCTGTGAATTTCTTCGTCTCTAATAGCATTTTTCATAATTTCTTCAACTTCACTAGATTTCCCCTTAATCTCCTTTAACTTTTCATTTCCACCCAGGAAAAACTCAATCTTTTCAATTATGTCCTCCTGGCTGTCCTCAAAACTGGTTCCTCTAGCCATTTCCATGCAAACGGAACTTCTTCCACCAAGAACTTTGCATTGTGAAATTGCTCAGCAGCCGTAGGCCAACTTATCAATGGCACCGCACTTATAAGTGATTCCAATACTGAATTCCATCCACAGTGATTTAAAAAAGCAGCCACAGATTTATGTGACAAAATTTCCACCTGGGGTGCCCATGTATCAACAATTAGTCCTCTTTCTTGATCCGAAAACCATTCCGGCAGCCACTTGTCTGCTACGAATTTCGCGTTTATGTCGAATCCTATTGGTGGTCTCACAACCCATATGAAATTTATTCCACTAGCATCAAGGGCTTTTGCCAGTTGCATCATATGTGAAGCTGAGATTGTAATCATCGATCCAAAGCATATGTATAGTACAGATTTCTCTTCCTTTTTATCGAGCCATTCGATACATTTATCCGGACTAATTGTTGCTTCTTCACCAGCTCTGGATGATCTAACATTTTCTGGAAGTAATACCTGTCCAATTGCATAAACTGGAATGCCTAATTTACGACGAAAATACATTAATCCAAGCTTGTTGAGTTCTTCGACTGTGTTGAGAAGAGCATCAGAATTAGCCCAAGTTGGAAATTTTTTCCAATGATATTCTGTAAGAGGATCATTCTCTCCTGCCATTTTCGTAGCTGGGGATGCCTGAGTAACATGATGTTTTCCGGCTTCAGGAAAATCAGGCAGCAGAAATTCAGCACTCTCCGTACTAAACACGTCAGAACAGTATAAAGAGCGAGATTTTTAAGTTTTTCTTCTTTGATAATACAGTTTAGTACTGTTGAATCCTCCTTGCCAAACACGCCATCAATGTTCTTGTGAGGTAAATTCAGCCACATGGAATAGTAACAAGCCATACCAAATTCACCAGTAGCACTGAAAATTGAATGAAAAATTCCAAATTCATGGGCTATATCAGCTGTCCATCCAAATAAAAAAGTCTGCTATTACACAGACTGGCTTTACACCTCCTTGTTCTTGTATAATATCAAATAGCCACTTCTAGAATGGAATTTTGAAACTCATGGTGGCTTGGCGGAGGCTGAAAAGAAGGTTGTAAGGAAGGGAATCCGAGTTTTCGGCTCCCGGAGGAAGTCCTTGTTCTGTGCTGTTAAAAGGGATTTCGACAAATTTAATGGAGGAGCCTGGAGGAAGAGATCTTTGGAGTTTCTTGATGTTAAGAGGGGTGTTTACGAAGGTCATGCTATAGCCATTTTTTTCTATCTTTTGAGCCAAGGCTAAGAATGGTATAATATGACCTTGTGCCATGAAAGGGAAGAGCACGACATTTTCTCTTCTATTTTCCCTTCCTTTCCTCATGGAAAACAGAGGAATTTGAGGAGGAAAAACTGATAAAGAATAGACTAAGGGAAAATAGTACGGTTTTTAACTATGATGAGATTTGTATAGGAGGGCCTACCAAACGATTTTTTTTGTGGATTTCCCTTTGGATTCGATACCATTTGAGTATTTGGTATCTTTCATTCCCTAACTCTATAATTCGGTGGTTCATTGGTGAAAACTGAAGTGTGTAACTCGACCAAGTCAAACAAAGGGTAGGGGTGGACAAAATGTCCAGACCACATCAAACCAAACCAAACCGAGTGGTTAGGTAAGATTCTAAAAAATGAATTTATGATTTTGGTTTTTTGAACCAAGAACCATTTGGTTATGGTTCTTGTTCGATTCTTGATCTAGAACTGAAAACCAAAACCAAACTTTATGTTTAATTTTAGTTTTTATATATATTAATTAGTGGATGCCCTAATTTTGTATTTACTGAAGACAGCTCATTAATTGAATACGTCCCATTAATCAATTCTAGGTCATTAGAGACAACTTATTAATTATGTACACCCAATTTTGTATTAATTTGAATCATTTCTCCATCACTAATTTTCAATTTCTACGACGCCACAGCACGCTAGCACTGCGTTTTATCATGTCAGTGGAGGAAACTCTCTCAAGATTTGAAAATGAAATTGATCAACCACTTAAAGAATCTTTATACCATTTTTTTTTTTTTACCTTAATTGTTTGATGAATTATTTGTGTTTCACAAATAGTGAAAAATCCAATAAACATTCATAGAGTATTAGATGGTTAATGGTTGTCCATAAAAGTGGATTATAAAAGTTTTGCATAATTCATATTTTATTGTGGACGTGTGCTGTCAAAAATGCTGCAATTAATTTAGTGAATAATTGTTATTACTTATTAAACAAGTTTTTGTACGAGAATGAAAACTGATTTGTGTATTCAAATTATGACTATATTTTATTTGTTAGTTTGGACTTTTGTGATCTTGATGATTGATAATTTGAATTTAAGTATATATTACTAACTTATAGATATGGTGCAAGTCTGAAAATTTAAGAAAAAACCATTTGGTTCCATTATTAAAAAACAAAAACCATTGATTCGTCGTTCAGTTTGATACTTTTGAAACCAAAACCAAATGGAATCATGTCCACCCCTAATAAAGGGTACTAAGTGTGGAGTAGAACTATTGAGACTATGCCCTATTAAGAAAGGTGCTACGAATCTAGTAATATTTTTCCTTAAAGTTTGTTACATATTGAACTCGACCTTGTCCAGTGGAGGTGAAGAGATTGAGAAATTCTTAGCAAATCTAAAGAATTGAATAGCACATCAACTTAATCAACAAGTGAGTAAAGAAACTCGTCGAAGCATAATGTAGAAATTACAAGTTTGAGAATTTGTGCTAAATCTACTCAAATATTAACGAAAAAAAAAAAAGAGGAAAGAATTGCATTGTACTAACTACGCTAGAGATTTATATCTGCAAAGAACCTTACATTTTAGTATACTGTCATGAACATAAAAACCAGGCATCACCATAACCTTAATCTTGCTTGTACCCTGTGATATTTGTCCGTCTGCAAAAATGTCCTCCATGAAATGTGTATCAAAAGGCCTGTTATCTTGAACTCGTAGAATTTCCAAAGGCTGGCTGAATGAAAACGCAAGTAAATGGAGCAACCAGATGCTTTTTGCAGTGACAAAAAACGCTTGAAGAAGCTGTTCAGGCCATGGCCTAGTCCAACCAAGAGTCGTAATAATGCTACTCATTTTCTGATCACAAAACATACTAAATTCTTCGCTATAGTACTTCGTCCCCTTTCCTAGCACCTCATTCCAGCTCAGATTTCTCAATGCAACAAATGACTGGAAGTGTGATTCACGTTCTTGTTGAGGGTCTAAAAGCTTTGGCGCACCATTCTTTTGGAACACGCAATTCTCAAAGTCCTGGTAGAGTGATTGGTTTATGATGGCTTCCAAATGGTACAACACAGATTTAGAGTACTTGGAATTAAGAGACAACTTGTATGGTTGAAGTAATGAGTTCAAATTTTCAAGCAGAGTGAGATCAGTCTCTTCAAACTTCCTCACGAGAGTCTTGCAGAATTGTTTCACTGATAGCCTTGCCTCAGATACCATCTGCAGAAAGCCCTCGACCATAACTTCCTTGTTCACTGGCATCAAATTTTCTGGATTCCCATCGATTGATTTCCCTCTTTGTGGAAGATCCCAGAGTTTTTCAACAGGCTGAGAATTTTTAGTTTCGACTGCCAGTCTTAAGGCCTTCTTTAGCTCTTCACTATAAGTTTCCAAATATTCGAGTTTCTGGTTAAGCTGCCCGAGTGATGACTTCATTTCTGCAACTTCCATTAAGGCTACATCTCGACTTTCATTTACTTCCATCAACTCTTTCTTCAATGTCTGGACCGATACCACCCCCAAGTCATTGAAAATTTTGGAAACGTATTCAGATTGCATTCGATTTGGTGAATGTCCATTCTTGTTCCTCTTCTTCAACCTAGGGAACAACCACGACAAATTAAGCCCTTTGTTTCTCGACTGGGAATGAACAGAGGCTTGTGAATCTGTCAATGGTACGACGATATTAGACTTCTTTCCACTTTTAGTCGAACCATCTGTCTCAGTACCAACTGTGGCAGGCATACATTTGTTGCATGATGATACTGATTTAAGGTCTCCCAAACTTTTTCGCCTCGACTTGCAGTAATTGGGTCCGGGGGATGATCTAAGCACGCCATCGTTATGAGTGCAAGAACCGGTCACAGAATACTGATCTTCAGCTGGACATATATGTTGTTCCAAGTGTGCAAATTCAGAGGGCAACCCTTTTCTTAAAGATGCATTCGTTGTTCGACAATGGGATAACATGGTTTCATCAACATTTCCCCCTCCTGACGCGTAATTGCCCCAACTTTCAGCACAATTTCGATTCTTTAACATAACTTGTTCAAACCCCGGCAGTGGTTCATCGTCATAACTCTGTTAACATGAACTATTTGAAAAAAAAAAGGACAAAAATATGCAGGAACACAGATCTAGAGGGTGATGGCTAAAGATTAAAGCCAGTCTGAACTATAAAGAATTTACAGAAATCAGAGTTGACTAAATTTATTACAGTAACTTAATTATGAGATTGACATGTAAAACCTTCATTTACAAATAATACTTAACTTAGCCTCCCCTTGGAAAGAAAATTGTATATCATTTATAAATTCAATCAAATTCAAACATTAGTTTCAACCATACATTTATAACTACTACTCGTTATTATTCACACGTTTCGTAGGATCCACTACTTCTTCTTTATAAATCATTTATAAATTTGCCAAATGGAGGCTTACAAATTGAGTAGGGCTTAAAAATAAGTTTTTCCGTTCCATTGTAGCGAAGTTTTTAAGATCATTTGGTACACAAAGGAGATGCTAAAAATATCATAAGTAAAAGATTAGGCCATGTTTAATGGAAATTGAATATTGTTGAAAAGAGATTTCAATTCTGTTTTTATCACTGATTTCTTGAACACAAAATGTATTGATGAACAATGAAAAAAATTCCAGTCTGAACCACTTCATCTAAATACTAATTTCATAAATGACATCAAGTCGAGGCTTTTTCGTGCTGCACTAAAAAGCTAACTCATTTAAAAGCTTAAATGGAGACATTATGAAGTACATAATTAGCATGTTTGGGTATGAAAAAATTTTACTTTCTTAAAAGTAAATTAACTTTTATCATTAAAATAAGTAACTTTAATCATTCAACACTAAATGGGAAACAAAAAAAGTTCCCAAGCTCCAATCTTGTGTACAGCAGAAGCAACATATTATTCCCAATGGCTATCATTTGCTGGTTCAATTCCACAATCTTTAGTCTTGAACTCACTAACCAGTGACCACAATAGTACTGTATATATAAAGCACAAAAATCACATATTAACACAAAGAAATTGGTGAAAATGAAAAACTTACTGGGGTAAAAAGGGGATAATCTTGAGCTGAATACTGAGAAGCGTGACGAGAATGAGAAACAGGAGAAGCAGAAGGGAACCTTAAATTTTTAGGGCTATTTTTTCCCTGTAAAAGAACAGCATGAAGTGCTCTAAGCTCCACTGCTTTAGCAATGGCGGACTGAATATCTTGCCTGCTAACTTCATTCCCACTTTCGTTTGCATTAAAGATTTGTGTTGCAGCCATGAAAATACACAGGAAAAAACAGAGCGAAAGATAAATATGTATAGCCCACAAAGAAAAGAGTATAAAGAAATGTGTTTTTGTCTGGGAATTTATCACTGGGAAGAAAAAAACAAAGGGGATGAGGCTGTGGCAATTCAACGGTTGGATTTGTTTTTGTTCAGAACAAAGTAGATTAGATCATATCATATCTAGTGATGCATACTGAGGAGCCAAGAATTGGAGAGAGAAAGAAGAGAGAGAGGTGTCTATAATATAATCAAATGAGCTTTTGTCTTTGTTATTAAAGAAGAAATGGAATGAGTGCATGTGAACCAGAGAGGGCGGGGTGGGCGTGCGTAGGGTGGGGGTGTTACTGTGTAGTCTGTGCTTAGGCCATTGGCAAATACTGAAATTCCAAAATCTCCCATGTTTTCTTTATTCTAACAAAACCCTAGAAAGTCGATATTACATCCAAGTTGTACAAGTTTTTAGAGCTGGTTACATGACTTCATTTCGTGATTCAATTAAGAGCATGTTTGCAAAGCTTAAGTTATAGTTGATCAAATACACATGTCATTCGTACATTTGTCGGTTCCACAACTTATTATCCACACATTACGTAAAACATATAACTTATAAACACTTAAAGCATACCAAACAAGAACTAACTGCAATGTTACATTTACTAATGTAGGCATCACTAGGGAGACGTCCGACCGCAACAAAATGCCTCTAAGAATTGGTGTTGAAGATACTCTAGACGGTTTAATCAGTCATCTTTTCTTATCAGAATTTGAGAAATTATATAAAATATGGAAGAAGTTCGATCCTAATTTCAAATAAGTACTTATTACTGATCACTTGTCATTTTAATGGTACAAATAGTTGACCTTATAACCAAACAGAAGTAGTGCCATAATCTATGCCACTATGTCAAACTAATACATTACAAAAAAAGACATCTTTTATGAGGCTTTGATTATTAACATGGGAATTAAAGCATGTTGAAGGGCAATTTGGTCCATGGAAGAAACATATTGAGTTGTCCAATTGGTGAGCTGGGTTGATGTGGGACAGAAAAATCACAATTCCCTCTATACTTTCATTTTCTTCTCTTTTCTTGCTCAAGTGAACCATGTAAGATGCAAAATGATATGAGGTGGGGTGGGGGACCAAATGAGCCAACTTTGTGGCCAAAATTAAAATAAAAAACTAATTAATAATTGGGCCGAATTAATTGTAATAAAATGACAATACAAAAATATAATTTTAAAAGAAAATTTTGTTATTTTTTGGAGATGTTCAATAAAAATAAAGAAATTTTTGTGATCCTTCAATAGCGATGATTCGGATGTGCAATTTGGATCGAAAAGTCCTAGGAATATAATTGTAAATTAACTATTTTCATATTTAACGAAAGATCGAATTAAAGGAAAGAAAAAAAAAATATGTTACTAATGTCAATATAATTATATTGCACATTTAAGGATAATAAGATATTGTGAATGGATAATTATATTTATGGAAAATTGCAGCCGAGATACCAAACCTTTCAGTCAGTTGCAGACTTTGTCCAAACCTTTCATTTGTACCACCCACGGTACCAAGCCTTTAAAAAAATCGCAGCCCAAGTCCAAAATAACGGTTTCTGTTAGTTTGACCCAAAAAACTGTCAGTTGACCCAAAAATTAAAAATCTAATAATTTTCTCCAAATAAGGTAAGAGCATTTTTGACATAATACAT